GCAGCATGGCAACTTCTGCCAGGCATTTCTGCTTGGGTATTAAGCATAGTACAAATAGGATACAGAATCCAATTTATTCATCGTCCTCCGCGTTTCAACGGCTGGGTCTCCACTTCCGTAAGACCGGAGCTGATGCATGTACTATCACAAGAGCTACAAACTCTTCTGAGCAAAGAGGCCATAGAACATGTTCCTCTGCCAGAGAGGGAGTCAGGCTATTACAGCAGATACTTCCTGGTCCCCAAAAAGGACGGGGGGTTGCGTCCAATCTTAGATCTTCGAGGCTTAAACCATACAGTCAAAGCGCTCAAGTTCAAAATGTTAACCGTCAAGACGGTCGTCTCGCAAATTCAACATCACGATTGGTTCGTCACGATTGATCTGAAGGACGCATATTTTCACATACAAATATTGCCACAACACAGGAAGTTCCTGAGGTTCGCTTTCGGGGGCGAAGCATACCAATTTCGGGTTCTGCCATTCGGCCTAGCCTTATCACCCCGCACGTACACAAAATGCATGGATGCAGCACTGGCTCCATTGCAACTCCAGGGCATTCGCATTTTGAATTACATCGGCGATTGGTTAATACTAGCACAATCGCAAGAGATGGTGCTTCAACACAGAGACATCGTGTTGGCTCATCTAGTTTCTCTAGGGTTGAGACTCAACACCAAGAAAAGTGTTCTTTGTCCTGCCCAGAGAACGACTTATCTCGGAATTGTTTGGGATTCGATTACGATGCGGGTACAATTGTCCCCCGCTCGAATCGAGACCATTCGGCTAACTATGAGCAAAGTCAGGCTAGGTCAAGATCGTACTGTTCGTCAATACCAAAAGATGTTAGGTTACATGGCTTCAGCATCCACGGTGATTCCTTTGGGGCTATTGCACATGAGACCCTTTCAGTTGTGGCTAAAAGCCAGGGGATTTCATCCAAGGGCCAATCCTCAAAGGCATGAGATCCCCTTCGAACCTCTAGAGTCAGCGTCTGACAAACTTCTGACCCTAAAGATGTTTTTTCTTATGGCTATAACCTCTCTAAATAGAATCGGGGATTTGCAGGCTCTGTCAATATCACCATCCTGCTTAGACTTTGCCCCAGGAATGGTGAAAGTGATTTTGCATCCTCATCCTGATTACCTGCCTAAAGTACCGTTTTCAGCTGTACATCCGGTCACTCTTGAGGCCTTCTGCCCTCCACCGTTCACAACGCTGGAGCAGGAGAGATCTCACAGACTGTGTCCAGTCCGTGCTCTTCAGGCCTACGTTCACCGTACTAGCCAGTGGCGTAAGTCAGAGCAACTATTTGTTTGTTATGGGGGCAGTAACAGGGGTGCTGCCGCTACTAAACAGACCATGTCACATTGGGTCAGGGATGCTATTGCTCTTGCCTATGAGGCGCGCGGCCAAGCTTCGCCAACGGGTCTAAGGGCTCACTCCACCAGAGGAGTCGCCTCCTCTACTGCTTTGGCAAGGGGTGCCCCCTTACAGCATGTTTGTGATGCGGCAGGCTGGTCCTCTCCGCACACATTCATAAGGTTTTATAGTTTAGATGTTCATGCCACTCCTGGCTCTCATGTCCTTGAGTCGACATCACAAGCTAATGTCTAGGGCTTTCTTGCGTTCTTGTGAGCACACCTACACAACCTTAAGGAGTCCAGACACCTTCAAGCATGGCGGCGTGGGTATTCTCGTTCCCAATGCGCTAAGCAGCGCAGCATCGATTGTAGCTTTTGAAAGGGAACGTTCCGGGTTACTTGACTGTAACCCTGTTCCCTGAAAAAGCGGAACGAGATGCTGCGCTACTTTGCCGTGCTGATGTCCCAGGACAGCTCTTCAGACATAATATCCTGACGATGCACCTGCGGCTCATCTATTTATAGCCTCGTGGGTGTGCGCGGGTGCACGACGATGACGTCACCAACCGAGGCTATATTACTTCCGGTCGATTCTATCGACGTGTTTACACACTATATTCACAGCGGGTCACGATTAAAGACGTTCCCCAATGCGCTAAGCAGCGCAGCATCTCATTCCGCTTTTTCAGGGAACAGGGTTACAGTCAAGTAACCCGGAACGTTTCTGTGGGTTGTTTTTCATGTCCACGAATTGGTAGCGACCCCAAATAACATGGAATGTGAATTTTCCCAGGGGAATTTTTTTCCCGCCAAAAAGCAGATTTTAGCCCCCAGCACACGATATTTACCATGGGACCCACCCTGAAACGCGATTGGGCTAATTTTGAGTAGCAATTGTGCGGATTTTGAGGTGAAAACCTAGCAACCCTGCTTGAAACATCACAATAATTATGCGACTCTTCATTCGAGAATATTTGTGTTTATAACAGGTGAGTTTATATCTGGTTCTCTCGAGAATATTTGGGTTTATAACAGGTGAGTTTATATCTGGTTCTCTCATCTTATTGATGAACTGTAGTCAGCGAGTAAAGAAAAATTAGGTGAAAATCGTTGTTGCATAAGTGATTCTATTTATAACCATTAGGCAATCTATCACCACACCCCAAATAAGCCACAAAATGTGCAACGTTACAATAATAGACTCACTTGTGCTGTGTGAGAACTCTTCCTTTACTTTAGTGCTTACACAGGTTCCATCTTGGTAGCAATGATGGTTGAAAACTCTATGATATACCACTCAAAACGCCTGAAATATTGTTTAAAAGCTGACCTTTTTGCCATGTAAGATCACAATATCACAGAAGATTTAAATAATTGAGTTACCAATACTGGGTAAGGTGAGTAAAATGTGCTTTTGTATATTAAGACACACATTTTGTTTTCCCCAAGGTTTTTGCTCCACTACTGTCAAGGTAGTTCCTGAGTGTGTGATCCTTGCCTTTGTCGCCTTTGGCCTACTTAGTTGGAATTTAAAAGATTTATATTCAGGGATTATCGATTCAATTTATATTTATTTATACAGCACTTTTCACAATGCATATTATATTAAAGCAGCTTTACAGAAATGTATGCGTCAACATTTAAATTTAGAGTGATCAGTTATCAGAGGTGTCTAAATTATGTATACAAACCACACAGTTAGCTAGTAGACTGCACTGACACTTTCAAGTGAGAACAAAAGCTTGAATTGAATTGAGCTAGATAATGACACTATTTGAACTAAAGCAAAGCAGATCGTAAGGTGCAGCCATGGGAGTTCATATCTATAAGACAAAAAATGTTTAATAAAAATTATACAATCACACTTGGTCGACATTCAGCTGCGATCTTACTCTCACACAGATACAAATTTTCTGGTGCCATTTTAAACCGCCGAGCCATTTAAATCTCTTTCCACACAAAGAACACTAATGTGGTCTCACATCTACATGACTTCTCAGGTGAATCTGTAAGTGTGATGGCAAAAGAAAGCTTTTATTACACTGATCACAATTAAATTGCCTTTCTCCAGATTGAATGCGCTGAACATTTTTGAAATTGTTTCTTTTTCTAAGCTTATTTTCACTCTCAGAGCACTGCGACTTCTTTCCACAACGTGTTTGCAAGTGACGTTTCAGGTCTTTTATATGTGAAACTCTTCTCACACTGAAGACACGTAAAAGGTTTCTCTCCAGTGTGAAGCCTCATGTGAACCTCAAGTGATATTTTCTGACTGAAAATCTTTCCACACTGATGACAATTAAAACAGTTCTCTCTTGAGTGAAGCCTAGAGTGGTAAGTAAGGGTTATTACACGTGTAAAACATTTTCCACATTCAAGGCACATGAATGGCTTCTCTCCAGAGTGAATTTTCATGTGAGCCGTAAGATTTCCATTTTGTGAGAAGCTCTTCCCACACAGTTTGCAGGTGTAAGGACTCTCGCCAGTGTGAACTCTCCTGTGGGCATTAAACGTTCTTTTATATGAGAAGCTCTTCCCACACTGTTTTTTAGGTGTAAGGACTCTTACCAATGTGAATTTTAATGTGTGAATCAAGGATTCCTTTAAGTCTGAAACTCATTCCACACTGAACACATGTGAATGGCTTCTCTCCAGTGTGAATTGACATGTGTGACTTAAGACCTCCTTTGTAAGAGAACCTAGTCCCACACAGTTTGCAGGTGAAAGGCTTTTCTGCAGTGTGACTGCTCATATGAGAGTTGAGGCTTACTTTACAAGAGTTCTCTCCTGAATGTGTTCTCTGAATGTGTGAATTAAGGGATACTTTCTTTTTGAAGCTCTTTCCACACTGATCACATGTGAACGGCTTCTCTCCAGTGTGAACTCTCATGTGGGATTTAAGGTTTCCCCTGTGAATGAAGCTCTTTCCACACTGTTGGCATGTGTCTTTCAGATCTAAAGCAAAAAAAAAAAAAAGTTAATGGCTCAAAGAAACAGACATCAAAACCAAGATAAAAGTATTAAAACATCAAAACCAACATTTTGCAACAAAAGTGCATTGTTATAGACCAATCCTGAATCTGCCATTCAGGTCTAAAATATTAGAAACAGAGTATTCTTCACTGTGCTACGGTACTTGTGAACAATTTCAGTCAGGATTAAAGCACCATCATTTATTAAAGTGATACATGACCTGCTTTTGGCATCTAATCACGAGTAGAGATGTTGTCAACAGAGATAATAGCACTAGAAGAAATATCACAATATTCTTTTGGATAGGTACGTTGTCATTTGTCGATAAGCATTAGCACAGTTTAGGTCAAATCTATTCGACTGCTAATACTTGTGTAAACAAACAGACGTTTCATCAAACACGAGAATGGAGTGCAACAGGGCTCAGTATTAGGTCCTCTGCATTTTTCCTAATGTATGCTGTCCCTGAAAGACATTATCATTAGAGTTCACCATGTTTTGCCAAATACTCTGTTTTACATTTCCTCACCACGTGACAAAACTGCCCAACTGGCCAAGTTGATTTTGCGGCTGTATCAACCAACAGACAAAAAAAAAAAAAAAATTCATAATGAAAATAATCACCTATGAATTTTATATTTTATTAATCATGTCTGCACACACTGCATGGAATAGAAATCCCCCAGTTATGTAACTTTAACAGTAGTGAATAACACATTTCTGTGGATCCCACAGTTTGCAGGTGTGAGGACTCTCACCTGTGTGACTTTTCACGTGTGAATCACAGGTTGATTGAAGTCTGAAACTCTTTCCACACTGATGACATATGAAACGCTTCTCTCCAGTGTGAATTCTTGTGTGGTATGTAAGGTTATGTCTTCGACTGAAACTCTTTCCACAATAAGAGCAGGTGAATTTACGGTTAGATTTGGTCTTCTGAACTTTTGTTAGTGATGAAGTCATTTCAGTCTGTATAGATTTTTGTATATCCATGAAATCATGTCCCTTATATTGATCTTTCACTTCTATTTCATTCAGTTCTTGATTCTCTTCTTTCAGTGCCATCAGGTCTAAAGCGAAAAAGACAAATACAAGTTAATGGCAGATTAATGGCTCAAAGCAACAGACATTTCATCAAAAACAAGTATGGAGTGCAGCAGGGCTCAGTATTAGGTCCTCTGCTTTTCTCCTAATGTATGCTGTCCCTGAGGGACATCACTTTGTCTTTATGCTAACTTGGACAGATTAATCATGTTGTGAGGAAATGAAAAAAACAGTTTAAGCGTAGAGTTTTGTTAATTTTGCAGCTGTAGCATCTAACTGAAAATATTGACAAGATATAATAATTCATCATGAAAATAATCACCATTGAATTATTGTTTATAAATCATGTCTGCATGCAGTGCATGGAATAAACATCGCCCCAGTCATGTCACTTAATGAATAACCCATTTCTGTGGATCCCACACTGTTTGCAGGCGTAAGGACTCTCACCTGTGTGACTTTTCATGTGTAAATAAGGGGTTGATTAAGTCTGAAACTATTTCCACACTGATAACATAAAACCGTTCTTACCTGAGTGTTTTCTCTTTGTGTGGGAATTAAGGGTTACTTTATATTTGAAACTCTCTCCACACTGATCACATGTGAACGGCTTCTCTCCGGTGTGAACTCTCATGTGGGAATTAATGTTTGCTCTCTGACTGAAACTCTTTCCACACTGATTACATGTGAAAGGCTTCTCTCCAGTGTGAATTCTCATGTGGGTTATACAGTCATGTTTTTGTTTGAAACTCTTTCCACAATGAGGGCAGGTCAAGTTACTGTTAGATTTGGTCTTCTGAACTTTTCTTCGTGATGAAGTTGTTTCAGTCTGTATGGATTTTTCTACATCCATGAAATCATGTCCCTTATTTTGATCTTTCTCTTCTATTTCATTCAGTTCTTGATTCTCTTCTGTCAGTGCCATCAAGTCTAAAGCGAAAAAAAGACCAATACAAGTTAACATCAGTTTAATGGCTCAAAGCAACAGAATTCAAAACCAAGATAAAAGTATCAAAACATCAAAACCAAAAGATTCAAGATTCAAGATGTTTATTTGTCATATGCACAGATTTACACCATGCAATGAAATTCTTAGGTTGCAAAAAGTTTCCCACAGTATAAAATGTACACAATATACACACAATATATTTAAAAGATGCAAGTGTAGAATTGCATTCGGCAGAGAGACATTAAAAGCATCATAAAAAGCATGTACATTGAACAATGCAAACATTCACAGTGTAGTGCAAACAGTGAATAAAGTGCTAGTATGGAGTTGTCAATGGACTGAGTCATTCAACATCCTGATGGCCTGTGGATAAAAACTGTTTTTAAGTCTGGATGTTCTGGCTTTCATGCTCCTATAGCGTCTGCCAGAAGGTAACAATGTGAACAGTATATGCTGAGGGTGTGTAGTGTCTCTGATAATGTTAAGTGCCCTCTTAGTTACCCGGGTTTTGTAAATATCCTGAAGTGATGGAAAAACTGTTCCACAGATGTATTGTGCAGTTTTAATCACACGCTTGAGAGCTTTCCTTTCCTGTACTGTGCAGTTTCCAAACCACACTGTGATGGAATTAGTCAGGATGCTCTCCACTGTACATCTATAGAAATTGCTAAGGAGTTTGGTGGACAGACCAAATTTCCTCAGCTTTCTTAGAAAGTACAGCCGTTGTTGAGACTTCCTGACAATGTGCTGGGTGTTGTGAGACCAAGAGAGGTCCTCACTGATGTAGGTGCCAAGGAATTTAAATGTTTTCACCCTCTCTACCTGTACTTCACTGATGTAAAGTGGGCCGTGCTGATCATCTCTCCTCCTCCTCGGGTCGATAATCATCTCCTTAGTTTTCTCTGCATTTAAGGAGAGATTATTTGTGTGGCACCAGGACACCAGCTGAGCCATCTCCTCCCTATAGTCGGTCTCAGCCCCACCAGTGATCAGGCCGATGACTGTTGTATCATCCGCAAACTTGATGATGGTGGTATTACGCTGAGTAGGGGCACAGTCATAAGTGAAGAGGGTGTACAACAAAGGGCTCAGCACACAGCCCTGGGGTGTCCCTGTGCTCACCATCCTTGTACCTGATGTCTGGGTACCAACTCTGACTGTCTGTGGTCTTTCTGTGAGAAAGTCCATGACCCAGCTGCAGAGAGAAGGTGCCAGTCCAAGGATGAGGAGCTTCTCAGCCAGCTTGGTTGGGAGGACCGTGTTGAATGCCGAGCTGTAATCGATAAAGAGCATTCGAACATATGTATCCTTGTTCTCCAAATGTGTGAGAGCTGTGTGGATGGCAGTGTTTACTGCATCATCAGTGGATCGGTTCCGACGATACGCAAACTGTAATGGATCCAGTGTGTCTGGAATGGTCTTTTTAATGTGGTTCATGACTATCCTCTCAAAACATTTCATCACAATTGAAGTGAGTGCGATGGGACGGTAGTCATTTAAACATGTTACAGTGTTTTTCTTGGGTAGGGGGACAATGGTAGTGATCTTGAAACAGGTAGGTACAAAAGATAGTGAGAGGGATAGATTGTAAATGTCCGTTAGTACCTCAGCCAGCTCCGCTGAGCAGACCTTTAGTGCACGGCCTGGGATGTTATCAGGGCCTGCTGCCTTCGGGGGATTCGTTCTCTTCAGTGTCCTGCGCACCTGAGCTGATGTCACCGTGAATGGAGAGCTCTGTGCTGCCTCTGTTGGGATAGTCCCTCTGCTGGTGTTGAGGGTGTCGAAGCGGGCGTAGAACTTATTCAGCTCATCTGGTAGTGTGCCTTGGTTAGTTGTGACCTCCCTGCTCCTCTGCCAATAATCTGTGATGTGTTGCAGGCCCTGCCACATGCGCCGGGGATCCGCGGTGGTATAGTATCCCTCCAACTTCACTCTATACTGTCTCTTGGCTTCTCTGATGGATCTGCGTAGATCGTATCTGGCCTTTTTGTAGCCCTCAGCGTCACCAGAGGCAAATACAGTGGAACGGGCACGCAGCATAGACCTTACATCACAGTTTATCCAGGATTTTTGATTTGGAAATGTTTTATAGCGCTTGATGGGGACAATGTTGTCTATACATGTGCTAATGTAACTAATAACCACTGAGGCATATTCTTCTAAATCCATAGAGCAGTCCTCTCTCACAGCAGCAGTCTTAAACACATCCCAATCAGTACTGTTAAAGCAGTCCTGTAGCACAAGATCAGTTTCTTCATTCCATACTTTAACAGTTTTACTTACTGCGGGAGCCCGTTTGAGAAGCTGCCTGTAAGATGGATATAGAAACACGGAGATGTGGTCAGACTGTCCGAAGTGGGGGCGGGGTGCTGCCTTGTATGCACCCTTAACGTTGCTGTAGGCGTGGTCCAGAATGTTGTTGTCCCTCGTCGGGAAGCTCACGTACTGATGGTACTTGGGGAGAACAGTCCGAAGGTTGCAGTGATTAAAATCCCCTGCCACAACAAACACAGCATCGGGGTGCGCAGTCTCGTGCTTGCTAATAATATCGTGGAATAGTCCAAGAGCTGCGGTCCGGTTCGCCCGCGGCGGGATGTAAACAGCCACAAGAAACACAGCACTGAACTCCCTCGGCAAATAAAAGGGTCTACACTTAACCATCAGCACCTCTATGTCCACTGAACAATGTTTCTCCATCACCTTAGTGTCTAAACACCATCTGTCGTTGGTGTAGACACAGACGCCGCCACCTTTGTTCTTCCCCGAGGCCGATGTGCGGTCTCCGCGGTGTACAGAGTGGGTCTGAAGTTGGATGGCTGAATCTGGCGTGTTGTCTGTAGTCCAGGTTTCCGTGAAAATCAGAGTACAGCACTCTCTGATTTCACGTTGTGTTGTTGTCCTTGTTCTCAGCTCATCCATTTTATTTTCAAGGGAGCGGACATTAGCTAACAGCAGACTCGGTAGCGGTGGTCGTGTAGCTCTGGCCTTTAGCCTAGCATGTAGCCCACCTCTCTTGCCTCGTCTCCGCCGTGTTCGTGCTGGCCGGATGTAATAGGTGTCCAGGTATGGTTGAATAAAAGGTTCCAAATCATGCTCAAAACGGCGTAACAAAACTGCATTGTTATAGACCAATCCTGAATCTGCCATTTAGGTCTAAGATATAAAAAAAATAGAGTCCTCTTCACTATGCAATAGTACTTGTGAACAATATCAGTCAGGATTAAAGCACCATAATTTAGTAAATTCATACATGACCTGGTTTTGGCATCTAACCATGAGTGCATCTTTCTTCTAGTGCTATTATCTTGTGTTACGTCCAGAAACACATTATTTATTGGTATGGTCCTAGCCTAGCCTGTTGCTACAGTTTGCAATCTTGTTGTTGAACATAACTGCTCAACTTTCTACTCTGTGGCATTGTAATATTTAGATTTGATTGTTGGGATTTGATGTCTCTCACATTTACCCTTGCAGTTTAAGTGCGGAGCTTACTGTTATTTATCCATATCAGTTTTCTTTTCTTTCTTTGATTTTGCGGCTGTATCAACCAACTCATAACATCGACAAAAAACTGTAAATAATTGATAAACAATAAAACTAATTGGTGATTTTCATTAATAATGATATCTGCACACAGTGCATGGAATAAACATCCCCCAGTCATGTCACTTGACTTTACAGTAGTGAATTACCCATTTCTGTGGATCCCACAGTTTGCAGGTTTAAGGACTCTCATCTGTGTGAATCACAGGTTGATTTAAGTCTGAAACTTTTTCCACACTAATTACATATAATACAGTTCTTACCTGAGTGTTTTCTCTTTGTGTGTGAATTAAGAGTTTCTTCACATAGGAAACTCTTTCCACACTGATCATATGAAAACGGCTTTTCTCCACTGTGAATTCTCATGTGGGCATTAAGGTTTCCTTTTTGAGAGAAATTCATTCCACACTGTTGGCATGAAAATGGCTTTTCTCCACTGTGAGTTCTCATGTGGGCATTAAGGTTTCCTTTTTGAGAGAAATTCATTCCACACTGTTGGCATGAAAACGGCTTCTCTCCACTGTGAATTCTCATGTGGGAATTAAGGTTTCCTTTTTGAGAGAAATTTATTCCACACTGTTGGCATGTGAACGGCTTCTCTCCAGTGTGAGTTCTTATGTGGGTATCAAGGCTTCCTTTCTGATTGAAACTGTTTTCACACTGATCACATTTGTAAGGCTTCTCTCCAGTGTGAGTTCTCATGTGGGTATCAAGGCTTCCTTTCTGATTGAAACTGTTTTCACACTGATCACATTTGTAAGGCTTCTCTCCAGTGTGAGTTCTCATGTGGGTATCAAGGCTTCCTTTCTGATTGAAACTGTTTTCACACTGATCACATTTGTAAGGCTTCTCTCCAGAGTGAATTTTCATGTGGAAATTAAGGGTTTTCTTGTGTTTGAAACGCTTTCCATAATGAGTGCTGGTGAAGTTACTGTTAGATTCGGTCTCTTCTTTCAGTGCCATCAGGTCTAAAGCGAAAAAAGACAAATGCAAGTTAAAGGGTTAGTTCACCCAAAAATGAAAATTATGTCATTAATGACTCTCCCTCATGTCGTTCCAAGCCGTAAGACCTCCGTTCATCTTCGGAACACAGTTTAAGATATTTGAGATTTTGTCCGAGAGCTCTCTGGCCCTCCATTGAAAATGTATGTACGGTATACTGTCCTTGTCCAGAAAGGAAACACGTGTGTCTGGTAACCAGTTATCTGCCAGCGTCTTACATCAACAGCGTCACCACGGACTCGTGAAGAGAGAATGACAACAGAACCGGAAGAGAATACAATGATGTATAAAGTCGTAGTTTTTGTTATTTTTGGACCAAAATGTATTCTCGATGCTTCAACACATTCTAACTAACCCACTGATGTCACATGGACTACTTTGATGATGTCTTTATTTCCTTTTTGGACAAGGACAGTATACCGTACATACATTTTTAATGGAGGGGCAGAAAGCTCTCGGACAAAATCTAAAATATCTTAAACTGTGTTCCGAATATGAACGGAGGTCTTACGGGCTTGGAGCGACATGAGGGAGAGTCATTAATGACAATTTTCATTTTTGGGTGAACTAACCCTTTAATGGCAGTTTAATGGCTCAAAGCAACATATCAAAGCCAAGATAAAAGTATTAAAACATCAAAACCAACATTGTGCAACAAAACTGAATTTTTATAGACCAATCCTGCCATTCAGATCTAAAATATTACAAAAATAGAGCCCTTTTCACTGTGCAATAGTACTTGAGTTCACCATGTATTTAAGCTCCTTAATTTCAGTCCTGTTCTCAAATGCTCATTGTTCATTGTTTTTGTCTGGCCTTTTTAAGATTATAAATATAAGGGCTCTGATTAGATTCACTGCTCCTTCTTCCTTCACCTGCCCAGTGTAACACATTAGGGCCATCACAATATTTTCAGACTGATCTCATGAAATGGCGTATGTATGACACGCCAATTCGTATTTCCATTTTTGGCGTGCTATCAACACGCATAATCGCTTTTCAGCGTGTTTATCAACGCCTTTGACTTAACGTTATATTACTGTATTATGTATATATAAATATATGATCTACCCCAACCCCATCCCTAAACCTACCCGTCACTGGGGTTAATACCATTTATGAGTCTTCTCCTACCATCCTAGGAAAAGAAATATCGCTCCACAGATGTAGATATAGATTTTGCTTCGTTTCGCTCGGACATTTAACGGCGTACACATACACGCGGAATCACTCGGACATTTAACGGCGTAGACATACACGCAAAAGATTTCGGCGTGGACATACACGCGGATAGCTCAAAATGCGTATAGATAACACGCCACTTGACTTGAAAGTGGCGTGTATGTTTACGCAAAGTCATGATGTCATGTTGATATTTTGGTAATTGATTAAATATTGTGACGATTATTCATAATTTTTCATAGACGCTTTTGTCCATATTTTTTACAGTCTGTGACGTCACCCACAGACTTTCTGAAGACCGGTTTTGAGGCCGTTTATTGGGGGTATGGGCGCCGCCATCTTGGAAAATCTTGGGAATACAGGATACAGAGATGGTATGAGGTGTTGTGTCAGATCATGGCCGAGACGTCAAATTTCAGGAATTCCACTCGAAGCAGCCCGTTATCAGCTGTCAATCAAAGTTAACCACGCCCTTATTTGTCATACATTTTATATCTAAATACGATCTAAACTAACGAGTTAGAAAAAAAATTCACCCCCCTCACAGTTGTCAGGCACTCGGAACCTATCGAAAAATACAATAAAAGTCCATGGGACCAACCTGTAAAAACATGAATTTATGCTGTGAAAACCGGTGAAAACAGACATTTTAACATGGGGGTCTATGGACATTTGCTCCCTTTTGGGACCTGCCCCTAGCGGATTTTCGATGTATTGCAGTTTTTCGCACTTACGGGTAGGCTTCATTTTTCAGATTAGAATGTTGCCGCTTGGAATTTTTTTGTGGCTAAAAAAAAAATAGACCTAAGCAAACAATAGGCTTTCAAATTATTTAAAATGCATGTATAAAAGCAATGAGGCATAACATAATGACCACCTTCTTAATATTGTGTTGGTCCCCGTTTTGCTACCAAATAAGCCCTGACCCATCGAGGCATGGACCTGGCACCAAGATGTTCGCAGCAGATCCTTTAATACCCTTTTTCCACCAGCATGAATCTGGTGCTAGCTCAGAGCTAGAGCTATTCAGGCACGTATATGGGGGCGGGCGTTTGATGCTTGAGCACCTGACCATTTGCCCCTTGGTGCCCAAAGTGCCCTTTTGTCAAGGCAAAATTTCCTCTCCTTTTTTTTGTAATTAAAGGCCTTTTAGTGGATGCCTGCCCAATCTAACTATTAGTAAAAATTAATGAATAATAATTAGCCGTAAAAAAAAAAGACCCACATGATGACCTTTCACCTTACAAACTCATCCGGGACGATTCCTCACGCCGCACAAGCATTGTTTTATTGTAAACAAATCTTGTAAAGTATTAATTGCTGTATTTTTCCTGCTTGCTTTGTATTTTATTTTAATTGGATAAATGTATTTTTGTAAATCAGTTTTTGCCATGAAAATAGACATGTGGACATAGCATTAAATACAGGTGTGATAGTAGAAAAAAATCCTGAGCCTGAACTTTTTTCCCTGGGAGGTAAGCGGATTAAGCCAAGATATATGCCCTGATCAACATAATTGTCAAGCGGGATCCAGGGGTGTGCTCCCCTGGAAGAACATTTCGATAAATAGTCCCTTAAATGATAGATTCTGGTGACTTTTGTGGATATAAATGGACATCATTCAGACATGAGATGAACAAACCCAATACAAGCCTATATTACATTAGCATCTTTGTGTAGAGCACCAGAGCTCCTGTTGGGGGTGGTCGTTATTAGGGATGTCCCGATCAGGGTTTTTTGCCCTCGAGTCCGAGTCATTTGATTTTGAGTATCTACCGATACCGAGTCCCGATCCGCTACTTATATAATACATAAAAAAAAGAATAAAGAAGAGAGAAAAAAACAGATCCAGAATGTTCCTTATTTTAATAATAATAATAATAATAATTCGTTACATTTATATAGCGCTTTTTTTGGGACCTCAAAGCGCTTCACAAATGGAAGGGGGGAATCTCTTCAACCACCATTAATGTGCAGCATCCACCTGGATGATGCGATGGCAGCCATAGTGCGCCAGAACGCTCACCACACACCAGCTTACTGGTGGAGAGGAGACAGAGTGATGAAGCCAATTAGTAAATAGGGATGATTAGGATTTTTATTTAATACACCTTATTTTAACATTCAACAACTCTGTTAACAAACAGAGCACTTCTGTGAGGGAGCTTGAACAATCAAGTAATAAATAACATAAAATCTTCACTTTTGGACTTTAGTGCAACAGTAAATATAGAAAAAGTCTAACATAAAAACAAATAGCACCTCAACTTAAAATACCCGGCAGGCATGTAAACAAAAAGTAAAAATGTTTTAAAAGTGTATAAAAAAATAATGAGAATATACATTAGGGGTGTAACAGTTCACAAAATTTGCGGTTCGGTTCGATACGATACAGCAAAAAGAAAGAAATGCCAAAGAAATTTCCTATTTATTAAAAGAAAAACTATTTTTTAAAAAGTTTGAGTTTTCCTACATCTTGAAACTTTCAGGTTTATAAATGGGGGTAATCTTTGAAGGATGAACAAATAATGTTTTGGTAATTACATTAAAAATAACATTTAAATATATATTTATATAATATTTGAGTTTTGAAGTGCAACATTAAATCCATGTTCATTCACAGCACAATGTTTCTCCTGGTTCCTACGTCAGCGCTGTTTGATCTAATAGAGATCTACGGTTAATAACGGAGAAATGTGAATGCTTCTCACTAGATCTCGCAGCGATGTTATTACTTCAGTGGCGAATTCTAATGTTTTCTTCACTGGATCTCTTAGCACAGTGTCGCTTGATCTCGCGCTGCACAGATGTTGCTGGTCCGAACTGATAATGGTCCGTTAAGCACAATATGAGTAGCGCAGTTTCGTTCCGCTTTCATTACGTTTGCCATTTGATGTTGCGCAACGTTGTGGGATTTTGTCTGCAGGAAAAATGGTCCTAGGAATCGTTCGGTTTGTATGCGTACCGAACCGGAAGCCTCGTACCGAAACGGTTCAATAATTACGAATACATGTACCATTACACCCCTAATTTACATATATCCGAGTCCTGATCGGGAGGTAACGTCCGATTCCGATCGAGTCTGAAACCACGTGATCGGGCCCGATTTCCGATCGCGTGATCGGATCGGGACATCCCTAGTCGTTATCAGCTTGTGATGGCTCAAGGTATAAGATAATAGGAAATAATAGGGAAAAAAAGGTAGCAAAGAACATCCTGAGGAGTGGACCTGGCTCCCGGCCTACTGGTAGGCCTGTTCATTAATCCAACCCTGCTTTTAACTAGTCACTTACCTGCATATTTATTGCTTGTATAGCATACTGAGACTACAGCCATACCAAGAAAGGTCAGTGGGTGGCAATTACAATACTCCAAAGTAAACTAGGAATTGATTAGTAGCCTAATCATTGACTTAAGGGCATGAACAAGGAGATATTCATTTTTCTGCAAAATATGCACCATTTCTTTTAAATATTTTTTTAAACAGTTACAGTGCAACAAAACCGTATGTAATACAACACTCAATTTGTTTATTCAAAACCATTTGCTATTAAGAGAACAATAATTGGCAAAAATTTAAAGTGCTTCAAGAACTGAAAAACAGTGAGAAATAAATAAAAATAAGCAAGTGTGTTAAGTGAAAACATGTTATTCTTAAGCTTGTCGGACAGATTTCTTTTAAATTCTGGCTAGATGCCGTGTGTAATAAGATAGCCCACATGCTGCCTCGAGACAGACAGATGCGTAAGGGCGAGTTTATCCTTCGCTAATTTCTGACACAAAG